GGTCACCACATTGTCTATGCAGGAGGTGAACTGACATAGGGAGGGAAGACTGAGGCTCAGTGCTTCTAGACCTGGTAAAACCAGTTGCCAAGTGGGGAACAGAGATCCAGTGATAGGCTTGGTGTCACAGCTCTGGTGATACCCTCCTGCTCTCCTCAGTGGTGCTGACCCCTGGCTCTGGGGATGAGGCTCCCACACAGCCCAGCCTGCCCCGTGAGGCAGCCCATAAGGGTGACCTGCACCTGCTGTGGGAGGCCCTGGCCAAGAAGCCTCGCATGAGCCGTGAACCCACGCTGGACTCCATCAGTAAGCTTCCAGAGGAGGATGGCTGCGTGCATCACCTACGGGAGGAGGTGGAGGAGGTGGCCCCTGACCTCTCTGAGGGCTACTCCACAGCTGATGATCTGGCACGCACTGGAGAGGCTGACCTCTCACACACCAGCTCTGACGACTTGTCCCAGGCAGGCACACCTTCCCTGGTTACTTACCTCAAGAAGGCTGGGCGGCCTGGGGTCTCACCCCTGGTCAGCAAGGTGAGCCTCTACTTGGCTTGCAAGGGGAGGCCCAGTGTTTTACCCTTGCCAAAACCACCCACGTGATTGTCCCTCCTTCCACCGATTTCTCCACCCGTCCATCATCCATCTACTGCTAAAGCCTTTTCTTATAAAGCTGGGGCCAGTCTCTCTGGTGTTCCTCATTACCCATCAGTCCCCAGTGGGGACTGCATAGAGTGATTTCAGGGAGTTGGGCTTGCTTTGTGATAGCAACAAGAGCCAGCAGGTACCTCATACTCCATGAGGCTGGCACAGTTGCCAGGGCCTGAGAGGCAGAATGGATAGCCGTGCGGAGATCAGTGCTGGGCCCTGGTCTTGTGTGTCTGGCCTCGGGGCCCCTGTCTCACTGTGATGCTGTGCTCTGTGCCCACAGGCCAGGGCCCCAGCACCCTCCTCTGTGGAACCACAGAAGCAGCAGGAGCACCCAGCCCAGGTGCACGCACCACCAATAGGTCTGAGTGCTGAGGATCTGGGCGACGCCTCCATGGACAAGGCAGCAGTGAAAATTCAGGCTGCCTTTAAGGGCTACAAGGTCCGGAAAGAGATGAAGCAGCAGGAAGGACCCATATTCTCCCACACATTTGGGGACACTGAGGCCCAGGTGGGGGATGCCCTGAGGCTGGAGTGTGTGGTAGCCAGCAAGGCTGATGTGCGAGCATGGTGGCTGAAAGACGGCGTAGAGCTCACTGACGGGCGGCACCACCACATCGACCAGCTCGCAGATGGGACGTGCACCCTGCTGGTCACTGGCCTGGGCCGTGCTGACGCTGGTCGCTACACCTGTCAGGTGAGCAACAAGTTTTTCTGTGTGAGCCATAGCACTTGTGTGGTGGTCAGTGGCACCGAGAGTGAGGCCAAGAGCTTAGACCCCTTCTGCTTTCTCTCCAATGCCTAGAGATGTGCATCTTCACCACGTCTGTGGGCCTGTGTCTGAGAAGACCTGAAACAGTAACACCACGCTCTTGGCTCTGCGCTAGTTCTTGGAAACTCCACTTCCATCATCTGCTTGCTTACTCGTGTGGATGAAGAAGAGTC